AAAAATATTTACTGAAAGTTTCCTATGTGTTAAGCCTGGGGTAAGATGAACAGAAATCATTTCATTATAACTCACCTTTCCTATAGGATCTATATTATATCTCCATCTTACAGAGGAACTAATTAAGATTCAGAGAGCAATCTCCCTATGGCTACATAGCCAGCAAGTTGAGAACTTTTTGGTTCTTTTTGTTAATTTTAAGTGGGATTAACTAGTTCACTAGGGGCTGTGTTTAAGTGCCTCTGCAGCCCATCATAAAAGAAGGTAAAGGCTCAAGAGAAATGGTGACTGACAAGGCTCACTGGCTGGCCCTGTCTCATGACTTCCTGGCCACAAAGCATGGCCTTTTGCAGCCCTGTTGCCTTTTAGCTCATCAGATGTTTTGTGCCATGGCCTCCTCTGTGCCTGGCGCGTGAGCTTTGGGCCACTGGCTGTTGGGAGAAGCCCAGATTGCAGCTTCTCCTGCCTGAACTGAGGATGGCAGAAGTACATTAATGAAATGCTGAAGCACCGTTTGCTATCTGCATAAAAATTGTTTTGGTAACATGGTGTAAGTTTTATAGAGTGTCTCATATTTGTCCAGAACTATAAAAATCACAAAGGGGGAGCATCTGGGTACAGTGATCTACAGCTGCCATCTCGACTCCTCGGGATGCTAAGAAGGAGCATTACAAGTTAAAGGCCAGCCTGGGCAACTTAGGGAGCCTCTGTGGCAAAATTTAAAAAAAGGGAAAAAGGATTGGTAGAGTGCTTACTACCATGGATGAGGCCCTAGGTTCAATCCCAGTAGCAGAAACAAATTAACAAACCAAGGCCATCAAGCAACAAGCTCTTGGTGTTAGTACGTTTTTTTTACATAGAAAAACATAGAGGCTCCCACCATCAGATCTACACAGGGAATCAAAAGACGATATTAGCATCTGGATCAGATTCCTGAGTTTTTTATTTTATTTTTTAAAATATCCTTTCAGATTCTTTTTTCTCCAGTACTGGGGATTGAACCCAGGGTCTCTGTAGTGAGCGAGCTACATCTCCAGCTTTTTAACTTTTTTCTTTTTTGAATTTTTTTTTTTTTCCAGAACCGAGGATTGAATCCAGACCCTTGTGCTTGCCAGGGAAGTGCTTATTCTACTGAGCCATCTCCCCGGCCCCTCTTTTTTAAATCTTGAGACAGGGACACACTCATGGCTAAATGGCCCACGTGGGACTTGAATTCATAATCCTCCTACCTCAGGTTCCCAGAGTGCCAGGAATAGCAGCGTATGCCACTGTGCCTGGCCCAGATTCTCAATTCTCTATTTTATTATATATAGTTGTCACATTTTGAAGGACATCTTTTGACCCATGAGCTGCTGCACATAGGAGCTCAGTTCCTGTTCTCTTGAGATGAAATCAGGTGATGTGGTATCTTGGAAGAAATTAATCTTAACCTAATTAATCTCAGCTAATGACTGGATGAAACAATTAGGATGTGTCTTCCTTCCTTCAGTTTTTCCCTGCCTTTCTTCCTCCCTCCATCCTTTCCCCTCCTTCCCTCTTACTCTGCCTGCCACCCTTCCTTTTTGTGGTACAAAGGATTGAACTCAGGGCCTTCCCACTAAGATATAGCCACAGTCCAGTTTTTATTTAGAAATGGGGTCTTGATACATCATGGAGTTGCCCATGCTAGGCTTGAACTTGTGATCCTCCTTGTGTTGCCCACTGTAAGGTGTGTACCACCAAGCCGGCTCCTCTTCTTTATTCACTCAACAAACATTGCTATTGTGCCCCCCTTGTTAGAATCTAGTCCAGTAATTAAAAAAGATCTATTCCTTTCCAAACTTAAATTTTAAAGTAAACACAATAAAACTAAAAATTACCTGATTTCTTGGTGGGTGTAAGACAGACTTATCAGAATCCCGGAGTTAGCAATCATTTTACATAAGGGCCAAAATCTATGTTTTTGGCTTGTAGTCCACGTGAGTTTAGTCATGCATTACTCAACTCTTTGTAGAATGAAAGCAGCTAGAGATAATATCTGAATGAATGACTCTAACTATGTTCCAATAAAGGCATTTTTGGACAACAAAATTTGCATTTCATAAAGTTTTAGAAGGAATTTTTTTGGGAGGCTGGCTCAGGATGCCTGAAGGGGCAGGTCTGGTAAGGCATGAGGTTCTGGAGATCGGAACCACAGAATCCTGGGCCTGACTGCTTTGCTTAAGCAGGCACTTAAACAACTGAGCTAATGGGCAGGCCCCCTCATAAAGTTTCAATGCTTTGATAAGACATTATTCTTTTGATGTTTTCAATCCAATAAAAATGTAACAGGTATTCTTAGCTTGAAGACTATAAAAACAGGTGACAAGCTGGATTCAGTGCGGTGGTGTTACTGTATTGGCATTTGCTCCAACTACAAGGTCAGAGGACTGGCACAACTGTTGGGTATCGTGGCTCAGTTCTTTTACATCTTAGACTTTCTCAAGGGAGAGCTCCTGAAACAGCAAGCCCAGCCAGGCTTCCTTCGATCTCAGCCCTGAACTCCCTCTTCCTTGGCTTATGTAATATTAGCATTGAGCGTCGCTTGGTTTGGTGGAAGAGCCCTGCATGGAGAAGGCTGTTTTAAGCCTTGAAGTAATGCATTTAGTGGTTCTGTAGGTGTGTAATCTCTAATACCAGGCAGAGAGATAATGATTCTGGGGAGAAGCGGTTTAAAAACAGTTCTAATTGTTCAGGCAAGTTATTTTTATCAGACTTAGGGGGACAGATAAATGATCACATTGTTATTATTTTTATAGATTATATTTCAAGAAGCTTTTCTGTGAAGAGTGATTAAACACCTTTTTTAATTTCACTCACTCAAGGAAAAATTTCCATCACATTAGGCTTTTGTTCTTAATGGTTTACTACTGGAGACTTAGAACTTTCACACTCCTCATGCCAGGACTTCGTGGGGATGGATGAGGCATGTGATTCCGTTAACAGGCTTAGGATATAGAAAAAATCCAGGGAAAGGCCCACTACTGGAAACATTTGGTGGCTATTATATTATGATATGTAATATTACATATAACATGTATCATGTGTTATGTGTCAATTTTTTACTTTTAAGATTAATGGTAGTAACAGTAGGTAAATATATTTTGTCACAAACAGTATTTTCCCATGGTGTCTAGAGAGTAGGGAACTGAAAGTCGGTGATTGCGCATAGCAGATGCCCACTGGGTGCCCAGGATTATGCACATCCTCTTATTTCATGGTCCTTGTAAGATGCACAGGAAGACTATACAGGCTGATGTTCAAAGACGCCGAACAAGTGGGCGAGTGATGGAGCTGGAGTTGAGAGCCAGGTGTGCGTGCACCTCTTCACACCTCCTCACTGTACCTAACCTCACACAGGAGCATCACAGTCTAGGGACCACGGATTCCCATATGAGAGGGGCTGGCCATTCTCTGTGACATGAGACTTGTGTCACCTGTTGCCTTTATAATTCATTAATCTTACCACTTACCTAACCAGACTATCAATTTGTGATTTTAGACCTTCCTTCAGAGGATTTGAAACTGAAATTTCAGCTGCACACCGAGATAACAAAAATTCATTTCTTTAGGTATTTTCCTGTAATCCTTGCACTTTGGGAGGCTGAGGCAGGAGGATTCCAAGTTTAAGCTTAGCATGAGCAATTTAAAGATTTAGTGAGACCCTGGCTCAGAAAATTATTTTATCTAAATTATACAGTGAACTGAAGATTAAATTCCTGAGGCAGCATTAAAGTGGATTTCAGTGGGTCTGAGGGCGTGATGGGTCCTTTAAAGCCACATAGAGAACCCTGCACATGTGCTTCTAGGATCCTTTTCTGGAGAAGGTTTTTAAGTTTTATTAGATTCTGAAGTACATCCACTACCTTCTAAACTCAGTGGGAAGGAACTAGGAATATACCTGCCTGGCTCATCCACAAGTGCGTACAGTGTTAAATTCCAGTACAACAGAAGGGGTTACATTGACTGTAGTCCCATGGTGGCCTGGGCATAGCACGGTCACTGGCCTTCTTAATAGGAGCTTGATCTCTCGGTGGGGTGCAGCTCTGGGCCCCTCCTTCCTCTTCCTTAAAACTGTTTGCTGGTCTGAGGGAATGATTTTCCCATAAGCTTTACCTAACTTAGTAGCTGTGGGCATGGAAAGACCGAGGACAGACTCGATATTTTCATAGCGCTGCATTACCTAGCTGTAGGTCTTCTTTATGCTCCTCTTTACCTCAGTTTCCTTTTCCTCTCGAAAGTCGTTACCTACAGGTCTGGTAAGACCTCTTTCAACACAAATTCTGGGAGTCTTGGTGCGGCGTGGGGGGCGGTTACTGCAAATGGATTGTTCTAAGACGGTTGTAAACTGCACATTTTAGCGCTAGCGTGTTAAAGCGCTTGACCACAAATACGCGAGCGCTGTTGACAGGTTGGCTAGATCTGGGTAGAGCTGTGGGAGGAAGCGGGCGCGGCGATTTCCTGGCTTCCTTGTTTGGAGTAAACTTTGGCGGGATCTGAGGGCTAAGAGGTTTGCTTTTCCATCCGTAGATGTGCTTTTGGGGATCTCGCCCGCCCGCCCGCCCGCTGCAAGCGTCTGTACACAGAGCGAGACGCCAAATCTCAGCCGTTCCCTCGGGCCCCTCCAGAGAGGGGCAGGACGAGCTCAAGTGGAAAACACCCGCGGCGCGCGGGCTCGGGCGCCCCAGGGAGCGCGTGGGAGGCGGGGACCTCGCCCACCCAGCCCGCGGCGCCTAGCGAGCAGCTCCGCTCCGGTCCTCGTCCGGAGCCTGCGCTGGGGATGGGGCGACTGGCGAGGGCTCGCTGACTCCGCCGTGCCCGGTGCGCTCCTAGACCCTGGTCCTGCGCCCCGAGCCGGCGCGCTCTGCCCGCTTCCAGCGCGGGTCCGCGGCGACAGCGCTGAGCGCCGGGGAGGGGACCTGCGACTGCGACCCTGCGCGCCGCCCGCCCAGCTACGCAGCCCCTGCCCGGCTGGCTGAGCCATGACGGACTCCAGCAACAGGAAGGAGGGCTTCAAAAAATGCCGGAGCGCCACTTTCAGCATCGATGGCTACAGCTTCACCATCGGTGAGAACTTTGCATCCGCCCTGGGACTCCTGGCGTAGGCAGAGCCCCGTTTGCGGCGGCGGTGAGGGTGGCCAGGGGCTGGGCCGGGCTGGAGGGTGCTCGCCTAGTGGGCACAGCCTGGGAGCTGCGCATGGGGATGTCCCCAGCACCCTCCAAGGCTGGAGGAGGCTTTCCTCTGGAGCCAGCCGGGTTTCAGGGTCACAGCTGTGTAACTGCTCTGGTTCCTTGGTGTGATTACAGTAACAAATCTCCGGAATAGAAGGAATAGAGACCGGGATAGAGACTGGGAGGAATGACAGAGACGAGAATACCAGGAAGGAAGACGAAAAGCACGGGAAAAAGGTGAACTTGATAGGCAGTAAGGCACACGTGTACACACACACACACACACACACACACACATACACACACACAATGAATGAGAATGGCAGAGACATTAGACACAGACACCTTGACACTAGGTGAGAATTAGAGACAGAGATGCCAAGACTCAAACAATAGAAAGACAGGGAGAGAGAGAAAAGAGGAAGGAGAAGAAGGGGGGGGGGAAGAAAGAGAGAGAGAGAGAGAGAGAGAGAGAGAGAGAGAGAGAGAGAGAGAAGGAAACCTAGAGTCTTTGAGAGACAGGCAGGATACAGCAGGCAGGGAGAGAGAAATAATATCTGGTGTTATTGAAACACTTAAGGAGCTTGGTGTCCAAGCTGGGGCCTGGGGTTTGCCCCTCCTGCCCACTGGACTTCCAGGGGCGCTTGCTTTCTTTCCACCCCATTTCACCTAGAAGGGATGATAGGGAGAGGCAGGAGGCAGCCCCAGGGAGCTGGGCTCTACATTAAGATCTGTCCTTGATTCTTTAACCGTTGGTCTCACGTGCTTTATTGCTTTGAAACAACTTGTGAAGGCCTTGCTTGTTCATCTCCCTGAGATGGGCAGACCTGGGAGGCCCCGGGAGCATTGGGGTAGAGGAAGCAGCCTTTCCGGAATGTCAACTTTCAGAGAATAGGCTGCCCTTGCTCTCCTACTTTGGAGAGTGCTCAGGTTACTGTAGCCTCATACCTTAACCCCAAAGACTTAGACAATTGGAGAATGTGTCATTTTGCTTCTTGGTGGGTTGCACCTGCTCTGAGGTGTGCTGTAAGAGGAGACCACTGGTCATCTCTGCGTCTACTTTCCTCCTAGTGAAGTGGACCAAGGTGCGGGGCATGGATTGAACATCTATCCTTCAGCGAACACACTGTCACACTATTACAGATTTTGCCCACGCAGGTGCACTACACAGTTGGGAATGCTCTTGCCATTGAGAAATCATGTCTGTCTTTCAGATAAATGCCTCTTTTATTTGCTGCTGTCTCTACTGTCCATCTGCATCAGAAAGATAACTCCCTCCTTTTGCCTGTAGTTCCTGCCAGTATCCTTTAAGGCTGTCTCCTGCACTGGAACCAGCTATTAGGCACCTGTAGTTAGTCCTTGTTGCTTTTGCTAATTTATCTTTCACCCTCCAAGTGGGTAGGTGCTCTGGGGGCATTTGTAGAAAGGTCCTAAAAGTTACCAAAGTCAGAAGTGTTTGATTTAAAGCTCATTGAACTGTAAATATGTACAGCTTTTTTGGACTGTGGTAGGAAAACTTTCAAAAGTGATTTTTTATAAGTTTTACCTGGTAGTTGTTGGTAAAGTGCACCTTCTGAACAGGGTGACTTCTTGAAATCTAGGATTATAGCATGGTCTTTGCTTCTGTTTTTCTTTTTAAAAAATTTTATTTCTTATTTTTTTCCATAATTTTATTGAGAAATAAATAGCAATGAGAGAGTTTCACATCGAATTGGTAGGACAGTTCCAATAATTAACACATTGCATACTGCTTTCCTAGTGGTTATTTGTTGTACAAGATGCAGACATGATATCCTATTTACAAACATTATGAGAACAAATCCCTCTATTCATTGAATTAAGAGAATGTAGCTATATATCTATCCTAACCATTTTGAATATACAGATACAAAATGGACATTCATCT